CTTTTGGAGTTCACGCCCCATTTTGGAGATCTCCGGTCTGCAGTTATACCTACTTGAGTTTTTCGACATACCCTAACTGTTTCGAACGGGACTGCACAGAGTATGCATGTGCATTGCAGAGCTACACAAGACCAGCGTTTGAGGTTAAAAAGTATATAAATTTTAATTTTTTTTTTTTAGAAAATAACCGATCGTTTCGCTAGATAAGACCATTCTTCCTTGGCTGGGATCGTTTAGAGCCCTTTGAAGCTGCATTTAAACTACATTTTGGAAGTTCAAACTCCGGGGCAGCATAGAAGTCCATTATATGGAGAGAAATCCTAAAATGTTTTCCTCAAAAAACAATTTCTTTACGACTGAAGAAAGATGAACATCTTGGATGACAAGGGGGTGAGTACATTATCTGTACATTTTTGTTCTGGAAGTGAACTAGGCTAACCTTACTCCTTTAATCTCAGTCAATTCACCAGAAAGTGACAAACTGCTTTCGCATCTGACGCCATATATTCTCGGGTGCTTTCACACTTGGTTCGATTACTCGGTCCGAACCCGAGTTCGATTGCTCCCCCCTCCCCCGCTGGACTGTGTTCACATTATATTATTTGGGTCCGAACCGCGGTTCGTTTGCGTCATCAAGCCAGCAGCTGTTTACCCCGTTGCTTAGTAACAATGGCGCAGGAGGAGACAGCAAAATGCGTAGCAAGGCTCTCTTCAATTTTATATTTATGTTTTTGAACCGTTGGTTTTCGGACTCGGGTACGGTTCGTGGGTGCGCACCCGAGTTCGGAAGACAGCGTTCACATCATCCAAACATACCGAACTCAATCGAACCCGGGTGTGCACCAAAAGTGCTAGTGTGAAAGCAGCCTTAGAGATGATGAGACGTACGAATCTATATGCTGATTACGGTATATAACTGTTTTAATTTAGTCTACTCTCTTAATATTTCTCTTGTGGTCCGAACATAGTCTAGTGAAGAAAAAAAAGAAAAGAAAAGAAACTTATAGGCTATTTTGTGTTAAACAGGTTGTTTTTTGAAAGTCGGTGCTTGAAATTAAGCTGCTCTTCATTTTTATTGATGATTTCAGTGTTAATAATTTTAATTATAGGTCTATAAATCATTACATAATAAACATGTTTTGAAAGACCCTTTTTTTTTTTTTTTTTAGATTTTCAATGAGGAGTAATAGCCTACCTCGCAGCGCGTCAGTTATGCAGTGATACGCTATGAAATTATTGCGGGTCAAATTAATTGCAATATTAATTTAATAAAATAAATGTAACCTAATAATAATAATAGGCGTAAGAAGAATGTAACAGGCCTACATGAATTGGAAATGCCAAATGCTCTTAATATTGCCAATTAGATGGGCCTAAGTGTAGGCTATACAATTATTTTATTCAGAAATGTCATGTTTATGATTTTTTTTTAAATTTGTTAATTCGTTATTTAAATTATTAGGCCTACTACATTTTCGGAAACAGGTGCAGTTAGTCGCCGGCGTCAGTCACAAAAACCATCTTTGTGAGGAAGACAACAGCTGGTCTTAAATTCTTTAGACGCCGTACACTAAACGACTGAAAACACGACTGAACCCAAATTACATTCATAATCGGCCTGACAGTGGTGTGTTCCCGGCTGTACAGAATGAACCGGATCAGCCTGCGCTTGGAGCTCAAAAGTCTTGCCGTTACTTGTGGGCTGATGGATGGGGCTCTCTCCCGTGTCAGTGCGAGTTTTTAAAAGTGCTTTTTACAGAATTATGCATTGCTGCTGTTTTTCTAACATTTTCTACGACATGCCGTCAATCAAATTAATCAAGAATTAGGCAAAAACACATTTAATTTATTTTAGTTATTTGAGATGTTATAATAGTTTTGTAAAATAGATTTGTGGTAAAATAGATTAAACAATAATTATTTAACAAATATTATATTTGTATAATAAGCTGGGGGGTGGGGGGGCTACGCCCCTGCTTCGTAATGTATGCTAGAACAGGGCGATCATTAGCCTACTGACTCTGAATGGGACGCATCCTCTCTCTCTTAGTAGCCTATCGTCCCTCGTCCTCGCAGTCACACATATCAGCATAATAAAGTTATGTCAAGGAATGTCTTCAAACTGTAATCAGGTTAATAACTTAATATCATACCTTGTTGTGCTGTCTTCTTTATAAAGAACGTGAAAACATGCGTGAGCTTGCGCGCAGCTCATTAATACTGAGCTCTAATCGGTCAATCGCCGTTATTCAGTTTATAAATTATTATACGTAGAGAATATTAATAATAATTAATTTGTCAGATAAGATTTACATAATACACAACATTATTAATCTAAAGGGGATGGTGGTTTTACAGAGGGGATGCTTTTTGTCATTTTTTTCAACCAGGGGCATGCCATCCCCCCTCAATTCAAGCCCTGTGCATAATGTGTCTCCAAACTCTCAGACTGAGCAACCACTGTCTGATTGTCAAGCTGTCATTACAGTCGGTCCTACTGAGGGCATATTTTATTATTTTATTCGTTGCATATGAATGCGGCAGTAAGTCTGAATGCACTGGAATAGCAGTATAAATATAAAGAAGGCACAAACAAAGAGAACCAGTGAGTCTTGCTGTCTTGGCAGTATTTTGGAGGAACATCTGTCACTTGAATCGAATCCCGTCCTCTGGGGAGTCGATTCGGTCGTTCGAACGCGCCTTCGATGCCCGAAAATTCTGTCTAGTGAGGCAGTTTAACCCTTGTGCGACCTTTTGGACATTTTTGTCTTTTTCAGTTTTGTTTTTTTTATCATTTTGCCTGTGTTATTGCCAACTGCATAAATTTTGGCACAGGTGTGTATTTTTATTGGAACGTTACTATTTCACTTCCATTTCCTTTAATAAATCTGTTTTGCACTAGGTACAAAAAATTGTTCCTCTCAGGACCTTAAGGCGGGGAAAATCTGGTACTGCTCCCAAACAAAATCTTACTGAAAGCTCATTTTTTGAGATATGAACCTCAAATTTGGAACCCAACTTGTTTAGATTTATGGCTTTGATTTTCTAGCAGGTATAGAGTTCAACATGTTTCATAAAATGTATATTTTATATAAAATATCGTTCATCAATCATTTTCATAAACTTAAACCTCTATAACTTTTTTTTGGTTTCACTTTTTAAAGTTTTTTTACTTCAACAATAATCTGCCATGGGTCTTCTTTAAACTGAGACCAAACTTAACTCATTCAAATTTTTATGACAGTTTTTTGACATGGACATTTTTGTCCACTAAGGACCTATGTGTAACTTTTTTAAAGTGACGCACAAGGGTTAAATACGTTTTGAAACGCAGCCAGAAAGAGTCAGTGTAGCCAACAAACAAGTTAGCTTAGCGGATTCAAATCTTACACGTCTGTTATAGCTCCCATTCTAACATTAACACCATAAAACAGTCCGTTTAAGCGCAGAAACGTTTTCGGCCGTGTTTCTGTAGTGACTTGTTGTCTAAATTACCGCTAAACACACTGCATTTTAAGACCACGGTAATGTGGGAAGCAGGGTAATTGTTCTTTTGACTTGCTGAACTTTACAACTAACGTTAGAAAGCTAGAGAGTGAAACCAACCACTGCAGACCTACACAGATAAACAGTAACACACTTTACGAGGGCGATTTGAGAAGATATGGCTGTTTAAAATCAACGGACCGTCTTTATCTGAACATTTTTCCTTACTTTGAGCCAGGGATCCTCCGGCGACGCGCTGTTTTCCGTCATTTTGCAATAAACAATGACGGGATGTTACGAGCTGCGCCCCCTATTGGCCATTATCTGGTCTGACCTCTAGAGACTCATCCTCCACTCTGTCGTTCTTTCTGCTGATTACTGACTGAATTCCGATGAAATCTATAAGTTCATTGTTAATATATTGAGCCATTCGATCCATCCATTTCCTTTTTATTTTACTCATTGCATTGTCTATGTATTCTTATAGCCTATACTGTACACATATACTTTACACTGATCATCTCCTATATGAGTCAAGATAAACATCAGTGTGTGGTCATTTATTCCACATGGTGGTGCTCTAAGAGAGTTTATCAAACATCAAACTGAGAGTTGATGCTCATATATCTCATGGTAATCGAAGAATCTATCTATCTTTCTATCTATCTATCTATCTATCTCTCTCTCTCTCTCTCTCTGTCTGTCTACAGAGGCCTATAGATTTATTGTAATTTCTGTGTAAATATAAACCTCAAAGTCTTGGGTTTGAAAAAGCTATTTATGACTAGCAGAATACAACACTAAATAATAAATGAAACCAATGATAAACATTTAATAAATTAAAATACATTGAATAAAAAATAGATCAGTTATATGTAGTTATAAAACAGATTTGATCATCAGTAAAATAAATAGATAAATAGAATAAAATAAAAATGCCAGTGTGGTTTTATTGTGTTCAGTTGTCCAACAGCTTTTACAAAGGTAACACTTTACAATAAGGTCCCATTAGCTAACGTTAGTTAATTCATGAACTAACATTAGCTATCAATCTGCAATATATTTGTTACAGTATGTATCAATAAATTTATTAGTTAATCAAAATACAACTGTTCTTGTTAGTTCAGGTCCATTAAATAATATGAACAGAGACACTTTTTGATTTTAATTATATATTAGTAAACGTTAAAAAAACTAACTGAGATTTGTAAATGCTTTAGGCCATTACAAAAATATTATGATATTAGGCCAGAATTCACAAAAATAATCTTCTAGAGAAAACAAGTAGGCTTGTGACAACAAGCCCTGATCAACAGCATCAGTGTCATACCGTACATAATATGCACAGTATAGTATGTGTGATATGTTTTAGATCATCATATTTTTTTAAATACAAACAGAACTTAAACTGACACACCCAGCGGGCTCTCTGTCTCTAGTGCGAGGTATGCAGGAAGCAGTGATGCTTCTGCTTTTTTCTGTGGTTTCATTCTGCTGTCACAACTGCTTCTCTCTCATTTCTGTAACACACACAAGTGTGCTCGGACAGGTGCCTTGATGTAAATTTGCCAACATCTGTATATTCTTTTGGAAGAAACTTCTGCAGGCTTGATCAGAGGGGGTGGACATAAAGGAAGTTGGGAGAAAGATGCTCCAACATCTGAAGCAATCACATGAGAGGCAGAAAACTGGAGAAAAGGCCTGTTACACTGGTAATCAACACATTCAGCCGCACTGACAGACTGGAAGAACTGAACTTTAAAGGACCTCTATTGTCTTTATTGTGAAAGTATAAACAGAGGCTTTTCTTGTTCCTTTTTTTTTTTAAAGCAAAGGTAAAAGTTCTTTTTAACCTCCATTTTAAAATCTGATTGTGAGTTTGATTTTAAATTCTAATCCTTGTTGAGAGCTTCTTCACAATCACTTTCACCGTCCTGCACACAGTTTTGGTTTAAAAGGTATCCATTCTGTCTGACAGCATGTCCTAAAAGACTCCATGTGCTTCCACCTAACACTGGATCTGAGTGACTAGAAAACTTCGAAAACTTCAGTGGATTTTTACCTGTGGATTGCAGAGAGGTTAGTCTGGGTTCCTCCAGAGTTTGGCCTTTTGGAATTGCCAGTGGCTGATACAGAAAGAGTTCAGTATCCTGGAATTCCTAAGGAAAGTTGTGATGGGTAACGCAGTCGGTGGGTTGGAGCAGATGGAGGGGCAGGAGGCCAAAGGCTCAACAGGAGGGTCAAATGTTGCTCCCTCCACACCTAAAAAGAAATGTGCCCCTGCTAAACTACCCATGCCTCCTGAGGAAGAGCTCGAAGAACGCTTCAGTGTGGTTTTGGTGAGTTTTTTATACACAGACATGTAAATATTAAATATCAACACAGCAAAAGCAGCTAATCTTGGCACTTCCTGTTCTGATAAAAACAACAGCCGTGTTAGGAACTACAACAGTATTAAATTCTCTGTTTTTGCATTTTGGAAACATAAATACTAGCTGTAGGGGGGAAAAAAACAGAGGAACTTCTTGATGCATAGACAGTAGGCACAACATATTAAAAGGATAATCAAACACAATATGAGCATTTCAAAGCAAATGCAATCTTCCACCTGAAATGCAAAATGAAGTAACATTTGGAAAAACACTTCTGACTTAATACAATCTGATTACTGTCACTTTAGTTCCACATGGGCTTTTGGTATAGGAAATGGTAGTGACGGGATGACAAATTAGGCAACTTCTTAAGAGAAGTCATAAGACAACAAGAGGTCCTATATTCTCTGTCATGACTGACCTTTGTTTCGTCTTTCGTTTCAGTGCAAGACACCACTGTCAGTTGGTTATACTCCTATATGCCATCCCGTTTATTGAGCAATTTCTTGTATCATTTAATTGATTCCTAATGGAAGCTCAGTTATCTTCCATTTGGTTCCACTTCAGCAACACATTATGTAAGCCTGTTTCCATCATAGAATGAATATTGTTACTTCTCATGAATGCAACTTTATATGTCCCAACTGTGACTTTATATCTCACAGTATGACTTTATTTCTTGTTTTAACTTCTCAAAATAACATTTTATTTTTACTCAAATAAAAAAAGCACTTCCATATAACAAATGGCCATTTGGTCCTTCTGAAAATACTCTTATTGGTCTATGCACAACCAGGCTGTCCCTGGCCCCGTGACGAGTTGGACCCACTAACTCATCTTTACAATGCTCAGAGGATGGGGGAGTTTGGGACAATCCCTGCAATTTTGTCCTTGACCCCATAAATTCAAGCAACTACTCTGATTAGATTACCATTGTATGTTAAAGAATAGGTGCATCACACATGGTCACACTTCACAGTGATGTCCTCATTGCAGGCTACTGCCATATGCCCTGCACTGTGCATTTGGTGCATTATATATAATATCAACTTAATCTAGTCTGCACTTTATTCACTCTCTTGAACCAGTAGACCACAGTTAGTCCCTACCCCACCCACCCCGCTCTCTCTGTTCTTCCAGTAACCGCTCAATGTGTTTCTAAATGCGCTTTCGCTCTTTGTGCACACAACCTTAAAAAAAAAACATGCTCAAAGCGGAACCGTCTTAGTGCTTCAGGAGGAAACACCCAAGAACACAACGTTTCTACACTAAACTTTACACCTTTTTTTTTTTTACAACACACCCTCTTAATTTGGTTGACAGGTGCAATTCCAGATGTGGTGTGAAAGTACAAAACATAAAGCTAATGATGAATTTTTGTTGCTAGTAATATTTAAATGCAAGACATGTAGCAACTCAGCCCCGTGCTATCTTTTCAGGAAGTCACATTGTGTCAGACTGATGACACACTGCATATGATCTTAAGTAGATAAATATAAACGTAAGGGGAAATTAATGTATGAGATATGCACATAATATAATAGTTCACTCAGAAATGAAAATTGTGTCATCATTTACTCACCCTCATGTCATTTCAAACCTTTATGACTTCTGTGAAACAACAGTGGACCCCATAGACTTTGAGATTTTTTTTTTTTTTTAAATTTCCACAAAAACCATCCAGGTTTTAAATGAAATGAAGGTAAATAGTAGCCTAAATGATGACAGGATTTTCATTTTTGACCGAACTGTCCCTTTAACAATCTGAAGTAGACTATAGGAACAATAATTGTATCATACACATTTTGTAATGTAGACATTTCCCATGTCCGTTCAACCATTGTCTTGCATCAGATATAAATGGTGATTATCAATGTTACAAATTCATGATGTAAATGGCAAATCAGATATTAATTGAAACTGAAGAAAAAGTTAACCAGCTGCAATTTACATTTGCACAGTAAAACCCCCAGTGTTAAATCAACACTCCCAGTGTTTATAGACATGTTTGTTATAACAATAGGGTGATGATGATTATTTTTCAATAAAGAAATCGTCAGCATTTGGCCACTTTCATAACTGATTTTTCTCAGAGCATCGCCATTGATTGGGTTAATACTTACTTTTGTTCACATGAAATAAAAATCGTGACACAGCAGTTTTAAAAGTAAATCTGTTTTAAAAGCTTAAAGCTGCATTATCATACAGATATCAAGAATCAGCGTATGAATCTCAACAATGGTGACAATCAACATATTCAGATATTCGGATCATCTGTGAACATCACAAAACAGGCTACTAAAAGTCACAACAAAAAGAGCAAAACAAAAGGAAATAGTAAGAATAAAAGAAAATACGAAGACAGCTGCATAATTTATTCATGTCGCATTGCATGCTGGGAGCCATGGATGAGTTTTGATTGGTGCACCCAGAATGCACTGCAGCATGGAGCTTTATGTTGACTGTCACCATTGTTGAGATTCATATGCTGATTCTTGAAGTCTGTTTGATAAAAAAAAAAAAGTAAAACTTTAAGTGCAGAATAAGTTTCTAAAGTCATTCAGATTAATCTTAAAACTGTCAGGTCTTAAACTATGTACATCATAAACTCAATACCAAAATAGACATATATCTGCCAGTGTTTCTGCTAGTGATGGGAAGTCCGGTTCTTTTCCGCGAACCGGTTCTTTCGGACAGTTCGTTTCCATCTTCAGTTCTCTCTTCACAGCAGTTCAGTCAGTGTACTGCTAGAGTAAATGAATTACTCCGGGATATTGGTTTATTTCAACCCAGAGGGAGTGTCAGCCACGTAAAAAAAGTGAATAACTGAAGTAATTTGTGGATTAATGCTTACTGGAGACGCGAACCGTTTCAAACGATTCAGTCCGATTTGGTGAACTGGTCCGGTTCACTAAGAAGAACCGGTTAAATCGAACAATTCGTTCACGAACCGGACATCACTAGTTTCTGCTACAATTTTAATTAGTTACTCTAGTCACTGTAGGCTGGATATGTCTTTGTTGAAACATAACCATCACTTTACCACACTTTCGCTTGGCTTTTTTTCCCTCACCATAACTAACATGTCTAAACAAACACACAGCTATAGCAGCCAAATACATTCTAATATTTTAAGTCAAGGGTCAAGAGCCCAACTAAAGCAAACACTGACCTCGATAATGGTAATTCAAATGAAACAAACATCAACATCTAAAGTCAATCTGGTTAGTAATGTGTGAAGTTGGTGATGCTGTTTGTGGAGTTGTTTAATCATCCTCTGCAGAGATCTTGAGTGATCTCTTTTTTCTGTTCTTGTTTCTCTTTCTTTCAGTGATTCAGTTTGTTAACAGCAGGTGTTCATCAATAATGCTCAATCATCACTCAATTACTATACTAATTATGTCATTAACTTTAACACTGCTTCAGTGTTACTTTTTTAACACTCTGAGTGTGGATTATATAAACACTGGGAGTGTTGATTTAACACTGGGGGTTTTACTGTGTGTTAATGCCAGCCTCTTTCATATATCATACTCAGACTTTGCCATGCTGTTAGGATTCAGATGTTGCCATCAACATCGCAAACCAATTAGTATTATAACACTGACAAACTTCTTCTTAAACAGTTATAGCCTGGTTCTAGGTCACGTACCACTGGCGGCAGTAATTAAACTTTTTTGATATCCAGTATTATGGATGTAATCTGTCTATTGAAATCCAGTATTTTGTGATGGATGTGCATGGTGCACGTCAACCAATAAGAATAGCAATATGTTTCTTTATTAGTGTATTTATTCACAAAGCTTCAAACATTGAGACTGCAGTCATTAGAATCCTGCTAGCATGTTTGTACAGTTCTGCTAGAGAAGATTTCACCTGATCTCCAGGTTACTGTGATGAACCTCTAATTTCTCTTCTCAGAGCTCCATGAATCTGCCTCCTGACAAGATGAAGCTTCTGAGTCAGTACGACAATGAGAAGAAATGGGAGCTTGTCTGCGATCAGGTAAGATACTACTATTATCATCTGTCGATCAACTTCAACATTGTTTTTTTTTTTTAAATGGCAGCAAAGTAGAACTGAGAGTATCTTGATCGTTTCTCTCGTTTAGTTCTCATTTAGAGAGTGAGATATTACTCACATTGAAATACGTTAAGTCATTGCATTTTTGAGCAGTTTTGCATTTTCATAATACTTCATGTCTGCAGTGTAGGTGTGACCTTTGAGAGGAAGTTATCTGGTAGACTAGATTTAGACACACCAGAAGCATAAAAGAGATCTTTACACTGTGACACAAATACAAAAACCAAACTTATACAAGTTATATGAGGACTTTAACCAGGGTTCATATGTCCTTTAAAGTTTATTTATTTGTTGCCATTTTTACATTTTCTTTCTTTTTGGGGTGTATACTGCATGATATGTAGCCATGGCCAATTTAGATAAGTGCCTGAAAGGTGAAAAGAAAAAAAACCCCATTTAATTCATCATTTTAATCATACATATCATGTCATACATACATATAATCATGCATACATACATATCAGGAGAAAATGTTAAAGGCCTTTGAAATTTTTTTAAAGCATCTCTAGTGTTTATTAAAAATGCTTAAAATTTAAATGATCTAACCTGATTTTCTTGTTCTATGTAGTGACAATATAATTAAAATACAGGTTGAGGCGTTTGTAGTGATCAGTTTCAGAGAATGCATAGCCTATA